TTTTTTTTTTTGTGTCTGTCACTACTTTTTCTCAGCTCTCACTGGACCGATTTCTTTTAACAATACGTCAAAAGATCACAAATTGTATCTAGTTGAAGACATTACCCTTAAAAATTTAAAAATTTTTACCCACTGTGCTGGGTTTTTTTTTATTATGTTAAAAAAAAGTTATTCCCAAAATTTAAAACTTCAATTTTCACCCATGCTTATAGGACTTGAAATTATCTAATTAAATAACATGGGGTTTTTTTTTTTTTCAAAATTGTCTTGTTTCTTCAAAACTGTGAAAAAAATTATAACAGTATGAAACTTATGTTTATTAATGCTGAATTTCATTGACTTAAAATAGGTAAATAAGATTTTATTATAATATCAAATTGTTATGCACGAGCTATAAAATCAACCAATTGTTATCAATTTCATAAAATTCAGGTTTTTCAACTAAGTCTTTTGATAATGATTTATGATAAAAATTGTACTGAGTATAACGAGTTCAAAACATTACAATTGACTTAAATCTTTCATTTTGTACTTGGCAACCCTCTGAGAAACTTTAAGAAAGAATTCAGTAATAAATTATTAATTATATAAGTAATAAAAATAGAAAATCAATTGAAGAGTATATTAACTTTTTGTATTCAATTTAATCAACAATAAAAATCTAGTTACCGTTTAAAACATAAGTGTCATAAGATAATTGGTACACTAATTTAGAACGGGAACAGTAAATTTTTTTAACAATAATTGAGTATCAAAAAAAGTATCCAATGACTTGAAAATCATCCTACATTTTTTATTTATATAATGAATGGAAATTAAAACAAATTATGCTTTAAATTAATAAGTAATAACTAAAACATTAAAAAATATATGTAATATGTATCACAATAATATATTAGTAAATTTATTATGATTTTTGTTGTATATCTGCATCCTTTTTTAATATATTTGATTACATATCTAGTTAACATGTTTAGAATTTATTACATTTATTGATGACATTTTTTTGATTTTAAAACTAGTGAATGCATAATTTGATATTTGAACAAATGTTTGTTTACCCACTTTAAAATTCTTGAAATTCAATGTTGATTGACATAAGTTTCATACTTTTATGGGTTTTGGAACAAAAAGAAAATATTATTCCATAGGCTAATTAATATAATTTAATTTAATTAAAAAATGATTTTAACAAAAAAATTTTTTTTTACGTGAATGTTTCACTTGAGCAATCTGTCTATTAAAAATGAATTCTATTATAATTCAAAATTATTGGAAACGTTTTTTATTAAAATATTATTTACCTAGAGCTTCTGTTTCAATTATAACACATTGCGTAGTTAATAGTTTTACCTCACCATTCAAATATTTGGGTACATCTTCTTGTAATTAAACCCTATTCAAAAAAATAAAATTGAATTATGTTTCATGAAATTTGATGAATCTTTGAAATATACTACATTTTAATAAAATGTAATTCACACGTGATGAAACCATACAGAAAGTATCATCAACTAGTATTTAAAAAGGTTTTCTAAAGCTAAAGTTAACACAATTGAAATTAATATTACGTTTTTTGGTGGCGTTTTAATCTCATTTTAATAGTATAAATGTAAAAAGCACAAAATAAATAATATTATAGAGATAATAAAAAAAAAAATGGTTTTGAAATAAAATGCTTAGTTAATAACAAATTCATATTTTGACTTTAAAATGTTTAATGTCACATATCTTTTTATCCCATATATTTCTAAATACTTAAAATTTTCATGAAATCATATCTTGAGCAAGAGAATGTCTATTCCAATATCATTGTACTGATTTTTATTCATTCATATAACTGAAGATAGTTGTCGTGCTTCAATATGATTTAACCATTAGTGATAGTACTTAACAATAAAATTATTTTATTTTTACTCCATGAAAAATTCATTCATTGGTGGTTTGTGTTAGTTTTTTAGGTTATGATAATCATAACAACCCACCTCTCCTCTCATCTATTTGGAATTGTTGTCAGCTACACATTTCTCCTTTTACAATCCAACTACGGGCCTTAAGTAAGCGTTTCAAAAATGGTCGTCGAAGATCTTAAGGTATGATTTTATCTATTTTAATCGCCTTTAATGTGATTTATTAGTATATTATTATATATTTTATAAAAATTGTATAATCATAAGATTGATAATTTCTCATAATAATCTTTAGTAATTGAATTTTTATAAAATAAAGATAAAACATATCGCACCTATTAAATATATTTGAATTTATTATTAAATTGATATATTTATTAAAGAGGTGCAACATTAAATATTCTTATATTGCAATATACTTTCACGCGTTACTGAAAGTAATACTCAATAAGAAAACATGAAACGTACAAAATTATCTAAAAATATTGACTTACTTTTTAATTTAATAGAAGGGCAATAAGTCCAAAGTGTCTTCAGAAAAGGCTAAAAACCGCATGCGTGAACTAAGGATCCGCAAATTATGTTTAAATATTTGTGTTGGAGAGTCTGGTGACAAACTTACTCGTGCTGCTAAAGTAAAATTTTAAAATTCTATCCAATGAATGTTATTTTAACACACCTAATTTATATCAATGTTTTTTTAGGTATTGGAACAGTTAACTGGCCAACAACCTGTATTTTCCAAAGCTCGTTACACTGTACGTTCTTTTAGCATCAGAAGAAATGAAAAAATTGCTGTACATTGTACAGTCCGTGGTGCTAAAGCTGAAGAAATCTTGGAACGTGGTTTAAAAGTTAGTTTCTTTGCGGTATAGATGATTCTAGATATTTTACCATTTAGATGTTTTATAGGTTCGGGAATATGAATTGAGGAGAGATAATTTTTCTGATACTGGAAACTTTGGATTTGGTATTCAAGAACACATTGATTTAGGTATCAAATATGATCCTAGCATTGGTATCTATGGTTTAGATTTCTTTGTTGTTTTGGGACGCCAAGGTATGTAAAATTTCTTTTAAATATTTATTATTCTTTCGTAGTTAAATATACACTTCAACATGTATAAACATTATTTTTTTTCTTTCATAACTTATTATAAGCCCTTTATTTATAACCACATCTCTATCTAACTGTTATCAGCCATTTTTCTCTTCATTTTTCATTTCTAATAAATTTTTGAATTCCACCTATATCGGCTTTAATTAGCTTAGTGGTTTTTATACTTTTTGATATTTATTTAGTGATCTCATTCATTGCTTAACTGTATTTTGCCGGCTCATCCTTATATTTATAATTTTTGTATTTATGTATACTGCACAGAACATTTCCCCTATTCCTAAATAGTTCTTTTCTAAAACTTCAACATTTTGATTTTTTGTAGAGTCTAGAACACTACTAGTTTTTAGGTTTTTATAGTGGCCCATGTTTCACATACATATTATGCTAATGAATAGATCTTGAATTGACACAGTAGGTATAAGCATAGAACTTAATTAAGTTTGTAACATATAAAATAAAATTAATACAATTAAAGAAATGTAACAACCAAAATTGATATTATTAGATTGTAAATCTATTTTAACTGATATTTATATATTTCATATTTTTTAATGTTAAAATAGTGTACTAATAATGATAATGGAAGGTATATTTTTTATTTTGTACTTAATAGTTTGACAATAACACACATAAATGTTGAGAAAATGGACAACTTTAAATATGTAGATGTAGAATGAAATGTGTGAGGTCTTAAATAGAAAAATTCATTACTATCCATCACTTTTAAACTAGAATGCATTATAATAATTTCCATTTTATAAAATTATCACTTGATGACAGTTAATATTATTGAAGAAATTCTAATGTGTTTTATATAATACAGGTTTCAATGTAGCTCACAGGAGAAGGAAACAAGGAAAAGTTGGTTTCCAACACAGATTAACTAAAGAAGACGCAATGAAATGGTTCCAAACTAAAGTAAATTTTATGTTTTTTTTTTTACATTTTAATTGTAAATTTATATATTAACAAACATTAATTATTCATATTAATGTAGTTAAAACAAATTATTAAGAAATGAAAGATCTGTAGCTCTAAGTCATTATTAAAAATTTGCCATTTAAGTTATTCAAAAATGCTTATGCATTATTTTATTTGCTTTATAGCAAATAAAAGCTATGACTTTTTTTTTATCTCTTAACGTTTTTTTACTTAAAATCCTATTAAATAAAATTAAAATATTATTAATCAAAATTTCCCCATATAAGTTTTTTTTTGTGTCAGTATGTATTTAACGTTAATAAAGGTTACATTGTTTACATAATATATATCTGAAATTTTTAGTAATTTGAGGCTTTTTGAGTTTAATATAATATTAATTTTAAACAATATTACACCATTTATTTAACATTATACTTAAAATGATATAAATTTCAATGTAAAAAATTAATGACTTATAATTTATTTTTAATATTAATTTAGACTACCTTTATTATATTTTTTATTAATTTAAACCTTTTTTTTTTTCAGTATGATGGTATCATTTTAGCTGGAAAAAAGAACTAACATTATAAAACTTTTAATAAACATATTGTTTTTCCAAATAGTTAGTTATTAATTATTCCTTATTCTAATCTTATGTTAATTTAAAAATAAAATTTGTGGTGATGGGTTTTTGACCGTATCAAATCATTAATTTATGATGGCAACAGAATTGAATAGTAAAGTTCTAAACCCTTACAGCCGAAAACATAACAACTTATTTTTAAAAATGTTTCGATTGAGTGATGTTTTGAAGAATGTTATACTATATATATTGAAGTTATGGTTTAATATTTCCCATTACTAATGAATACTGCCGTTACATAGAATACTGCAGGTGTATGATTGGTTTATTTTAGATATAATTTATGTCATATCGTGATAATTTCTGTGTAACATCTGTAATATACATGTTCAGGATAAGTGTTTTTTACTTTCACTTTAATGATGTAAGGAGGATAATTTTTATATACAGGTGATTTACTTAATAACAACTTAATTAATTAAAAAATAAAATAATATTAATAATTTTTTGATAAGGTGGTTCATGATAAGTAAATTTACTGTATAATTGGTATAACTCTAGGATATTATTGGTATACATTTAGTTTAAATACCATATTTATATATATACCTTGTGCGCTTTATGTTTATTATTAATATAAGTTTAATATATGAAGTATTAATTCATCAAAGCTTATTTCAGTGCTCCAAACAAGTTATTGCACTCAAATAAGAAAAATATTATATGCTTGGAAATAAATATATCTTATTTCACATCTAAATTTATACTAATAAGTTAAAAATTACATTAATGTACCATAAAAAAATTCAAAATCATTAATATTATCTGCATTTAATTTACTTAATAAAAAACTGATTAAAGATAGATAACTGAAAGCAACAATTTGAAATTTTTCTTCTTACTAGTTGGATTTTCAAAGATCTCATTACTTCAAACATGATGAATTGTTCAAGTTAAATATCCTGAAACATAATAAGTAAAAATTCAAGAATATTATTTAACATAAAATTTATTGTATAAAATGGATACATTTGAAAACAACCGAGACGCTTATAAAAAGAGCACAATCAGTTATATTTTTAAAAATTGATACATATAACAATTTGTATGTAGTACATAAAGAATACTTAAGAAATTATTAACTGTAAGAGAATCATTATAAAATAAAACATTTGTTTTTATACATAACAATAAGAAAACTTTATAAACAGACCTGTTATTAAAAAAAAGTCTCAAATGTTATTACTCTATAACATAATGAAATACTTATTTATTTTATTAAAATAATATTATATAAAAAAAATACAAACTAAAATTTTAGAATATGTTGAGCTGAACATTTAATTGTTATTTTTCATATGATAAATAATTACCAATTTTATCAGGTTATTTACAAAGAAAATTTATTTTCATTTTTGGCAACAGAATTGAAGTTTCCAGTGAATTACTTGAGGAAACCTATGACTCCTCCTAGATAAAATATAATCTTATTACCTCATGATTTTTTAACATTAATGTTTATTATCAAAAACTGAGTGCTATGGATGAGTCCTTACAGCAATGATCAATCAAAAAACCCAAATTATAAATAAAAAATTTAATAAGACTCTAGAAATAAAATGTAAATTTTTCAATAATCATGATTCATATAATGTAAATTTCAATTACTGACAATTGAATAAATTGTAATTGATATGCCACAATATAGAACACAAAATAAAAATATACAATCACTAATTCAATCAATTATTGATAACGGATTTGGTCTTCAGAACCTATTCAAAACTCTACCTAAATTGTTTATGTTTGAAAGGGACAGGGATGAACTGAATGGGGTATTTCATCCCCCTCCCCATCATTAGGCATTTTTAGACATTCAGTCGGCAATCGTCACTAAGTTTTTGTAATTAATTCCACTGAACATAATAAAATTTTCATATGATATATAATATTTTATGTGATTTTATTTCCAAATGGTTCAGACAATATGCCTGGAGTAATCTGGACTGTCTGACGAGTAATGATCAGGAGTTTTCTGATATTGAATGAATGTTGAAGGAAAAAGAGGTAGAGGAAGACCAAAAATGAGATGCTATTGAATGAGATATGAGAACAGCTGATGTGAGCGTAGATGATATGGGAGATCGTGTCAAGTGGAAGTTTAGGATAAGGGTGGCCGACCCAAGTAGTTGGGATTATGGCGAGGAAGAAGAAGAAGAGTGTTCTGATAATGCTTGGAATACTAAAGATATCAGGACTTGGCATAAAATGAAGAATAATGATAAAAATAAACCATAAAAACTTTCTAAACATTTCTCTTGTTTAGTTCGTAAAGCTGCATTGAAAGACTATTGTATTTTTATGAAGAAATACGAGAAAAATGTATTAAAATTCAGCATGAACATGATGAACAAGTTAATAAAATACTCATAGATATTGCTTACAGTTTAATTTAGCTAGAATAAGCTTTTAGAAAAGAGCGATTACAAAAATAGGAATTTCTATCAAATTGTTGAATTAATTTTCAGACATTGTGGTATTATGAAAAAATGGATAGAATATCTAGCCTAATGGTTTGTTTATCATTTGCAGTTTTTATTTATGTTACAATAAAAACGAGAGGTCGGATTAGAAAATTTTTTTTCGTTTAACGTAATATATTCCCAGAAATCAAATTTATATTTAGAAAAAAAAATTATTATTTTTAAAACATTTTAGATTGATTATCATCTCTTAAAAATATTTTAAAAATATAGTTTGCCCTAAAATATTGAAATAATATTCTGAAAACGTTTTTAATTCAATAATTATTTTAGCTTCGATGCGAAGCGGAGAAAGTATTAATTTTACTGTGTTTTTTTTTTTTTTTTTTTTTTATGTCTGTTGCCACTTTTTCTCAGCTCTCACTGGACCGATTTCTTTCAAAAATACGTCAAAAGATCACAAATCGTATCTAGTTGAAGACATTACCCTTAAAAATTGAAAAAAATTCCCTCGTTCCCCGCAAATGGGGGAAATATCCAAAAAAATTACAAATTTAAAAATAGCTAATTTTCGAAATTTTTTCACTTTTTTTTCTTAATACTTCCATAACTTTTTGAAAAATCAACAAATGTACATAATTTTTTTTTATACTAAAACCTTAGATATCTACCTTTCATTTGATATCATTTTTTGGAAAATCTACCACTTAACCTGCTCATTGGGGGGGATTTAAAATAGTAACTTTTTTACAAAAAATAACTTTTTCAACATAATTTTTGAAAATGTTCCGGAAATACTGCGTCCTTTAAACATATATCAAATTAAAGCTTATTTTATATACTATCAAATGAAAAAAAAAAATTTGTCCCGACACTTTTTTTTCTACATTTAAACGGCTGCCGTAGTTAAAAAAACACTATTTTTGTGTTAAAATTTTCGATTTTCGATTTTAAATTTTCAACTTAAAAATGCTATAACTTTTTGAAAAATGTATATATCAGCACAAATTTTTTTTTTCTAAATACATTATAAGTACATCTTTCATTTGACATACTTTTTATTAAAATTGGACAATTTCCTCTTATATAGGGGGCGTTCAAAACTTAAAATATTGTAAAAAACATAGATCTTTTTCAACATAATTTTTGAAAATGTTCCGGAAATACTGCGTCCTTTAAACATATATCAAATCAAAGGTTATGTTATATACTATCAAATGAAAAAAAAAAATTTGTCCCGACATCTTATCTTCTATGTGCAAATGGCTGTCGAAAATTTAAAAAAAAATGTAATGTTTGCGATAAAAATTACCTTTTATCGGGATGTTTTTTGTACTTAAAACTGCCATAACTTTTTCAAAAATGAACAAATAAAAATAATATTTTTTTATACTAAAACCTTAGATATTTCCCTTTCATTTCATATCATTTTTTTGAAAATCTAACACTTAACCTGCTCAATGGGGGGGGATTTAAAATAGCAACTTTTTTACAAAAACTAACTTTTTTAACTTCATTTTTGAAAATGTTCCGGAAATACTGCGTCATTTAAACATATATCAAATTAAAGCTTATTTTATGTATAATATTTTATGTATAAAATAAAAAAAAAAAATTTGTCTCGACGACCTATCTTCTATACGCAAATGGCTAAATATACTATTTTTGTATGATAATTATGGGTTTTGTATTTTATTTTAATAGAAGTTGATGTTGCTTTTGCAATTATCCA